GTGGGGGGCCAAGGGGAGGAGGCATGGAAACTAACTCTTCCAGCACACACCCCTTTTGCTACTACAAGGGCATCCAGCAATCACATTTGCAATAGTAAAAATGCTGAAGGATCCTACAGTACCTTTTCTTCCACAACCATCCATATCCTCTCCTACAAAGCCCTTCTTGCTTTATTCGTGCCAGGAAATTCTTCAGGGGTTAAATGGGGAAGTGCAGCCACTACCATTGTTGCAATAAATAAATGAATGAACCAGAACGAACCAGCAATTCATCCCTAGGAAGCTAGTATCTTATTTTCTACAATTACATACATTGGCTAGCAGTGATATATTTTAAAAAATTGTGTCTTATCTTTTGATATGTGTGTCTACATTACAAACACACATGCATCTATACAAAAAGAAGCATAGTACCCTGCATACACATACATCAAATACCTTTAAAATTTTTTTAGCATTATTATTTCAATGAAAAGCCAAATAGCTTTTAAAAAATTGGATAGGTTAGCAACTTCATCTTAAAGGCCTTTTATTTTCCACATACAGCATATATAAATACACACACACATACACACACACACACACACACACACAAAGGTTTTTTTTTTTTTCCCCATGCCGTAGACAATGCTAAAATATCTGAGATCAGGTTGCCATGCCAACAGATTTTTTCTAAAATGAATAAAATTATTAGGAGGGAGAAAACATTCTTGACTCCTTTCCTCCCATCCATGAAGCCGAGAGAGGCTCAGGGAGGGCGAGAGGCTGCCAGATGGGGAGGAGGGGAAGGAAGGGAAGGTGGGTAGAGGGGTGTTTGCTTACCAAAGATGCTGATTTGATCGTGGCAAAGCGCTCTCTGTTCCGGTAGTGGAGGGCCTGGCTCTGAACTGACTGGGTAGGCCGCGGCTCAGGCCTGGGATCGCCGTGGCCCGCCTCATCCCTTATGAATACATGATCCTGCAGAAATGGATAAAAACAAGGAGAAAGTCCAGCTGTGCTCTTTCCTCGCCGGCTGCCTCTCTCTCACCCCTCTTTCTGCACAAGCACTGCTGTTTGAAATGCATAGTTTAGCTCTCTGCTAGTCCCCGCAGCTCCCACGGTACAAAATGAATAAGCAACACATTGCAGCCTTCAGTTAGGAATGTCAGCTGATCGCTAGTGGGATGCCTTCTGAATCCCTGGCAGGCTTTTTCTTTACCTCCAGAATTACATATATGCAAAAGAAAAAAAGAATAGAAAAAACAATGCAATGTACAGACTCCTTAGAACAGTTTGCTTAAAACGCTGTAACCAAATAATTCCTTTAAAAATGTCATGTCCATGTCTAGCAAGGAGGATGCTGGTTGCTTTTAACATAAAAGCGAGCCTCCGCCTCATTCCCTTGAAAGATCTGCTTTCTCAATTTAATTTTATTTGAGATCTGTTCGGTAGGATCATCGTTCTGCCTAGAACCAGTGTAGGCTTGTGCTGAACTGCCTCTCTATCTTGTGCTGGGAAGATTCAGCAGTCACTGAGGGATCCTGCTTTCCAGTCATGATCGTACACAGTTCTAGCACCTTCTCTCTACAGCTTCTGAAAGGATTTTTTTTAGATTTAAAGAGACAGGCATGCAATTTTAACGAAATGATACTTTCACAAATTCTTCCTCAACTCAGTCTCAATATGGTCACTAGAGTGAGTTAAGGCTAGGATTTAATGTCCTTGGCTGACTTAATCAAATTTGTGCTTCTTGATAGGCAGAGATGATTAATCTTGTTGTAACGCCCAGTGAAAAATAACATTCCCTGGAAGGGTAATAATGGATGTTTCTTAAATGCAATTTAAATGAGTTTTAAAGGGGAAAATGCTTTCAAAGGGTGATGCTTTTCTCTATAAAAGATGGAGTGGTCAGTCAGTAAGTAGCTCTTAATCCTTCAGGAAAAAAGATACTATAATAATAGCTCAAAAACATGTACAACCATGGGGGATTTTTAAATAGTACATGTTCAGGATGGGGAAGGGGAAATTAATTCCCTTATTGCCCTAGGGTTTTAGGAGAAACCATCTGTGAAAAGTCAGTTTTGCATTTTGTCTATGACTACCTGAAAAATGTTTTTTAAATAATTGCTCACTCTTTCAACAGAAAACAAAAATTGAAGAGGTTTAGAAACACAAAATTTTATTATATCATCTAAAATTTTTAAAAGTCAAGACACATATTCTTGAGGGAAATTAAATTTTTATCCAGGTTTTTAGGTAAAAGTCAAGAGCCAAGATTAAATTTACCATTGGGCTGATTTTCTTTTTCCATTTATAAATTTAGAATGCTCCAGAATGTTAGGAAGGCATCTACCATTACATCTATATTTAGAGATTTTTTTTTTCAATTTACTGTATTGAGGTCTATTTTGTTTTTAAATAATGAAGGGACCTTTAATGCCATTGAGGACATATATGTCAAATTCAAGGATATTCTATTGTTATGCTGTCTTATATGATATCCAGTAGCCACATGGATATTTAAAGTAAATAAAATGTAAAATTCTGTTCCCAAGTCACACCAGCTATGTTTTAAGGTAGACACTAACTATGGCTACCATACTGAAAAGTGCAGATATAAATCCTTTCCATCACTGCAATCAGTTTTTTTTTTTTAAAGATTTTATTTATTTATTTGACAGAGAGAGAGACAGCGAGAGAGGGAACACAAGCAGGGGGAGCGGGAGAGGGAGAAGCAGGCCTCCCACTGAGCAGGCAGCCCAATGCGATGCAGGGCTTGATCCCAGGACCCTGGGACCATGACCTAAGCCGGAAGCAGATGCTCAACCCACTGAGCCATCCAGACGCCCCTGCCTATCTACCTATAGATAGTACTATAGGTTAAAAATGTACCTCAACCCATATTTTTGAGATTAAAAAAAAAACCCAACCAACCTTGATAGGCCAATTAAAACTTCTATATTATTTCCCAGGAAATCTAACCTCTTATTTTATAGGGCAAAGAGAGATCAGGTATGGGACTAGGATTTATGCACTAGGTTTAAGGTTCTAGAGAGGAAGGCACTGGGATCTACTGCCATTCACATTGCTGGATATTTATTAATAAGTTATATTTATCTCCAAAATTGATTTTTTTAAAGATTTTTTATTTTTATTTATTTGAGAGAGAGAGCAGAGTGAGTGAGAACATGAGTTGGGGGGGAGGGGCAGAGGGAGAGGGAGAAGCAGACTCCCCGCTTGAGCAGGGAGCCTGATGCGGGACTCAATCCCAGGACCCTGGAATCATGACCTGAGCCAAAGGCAGACGCTTAACCGACTGAGCCACCAATGCGCCCCTCTCCAAAATGGATCTTACCTAATATTACAGTACCGGAAAAACAAGAAGCTTCTAAATGGCAGCAATCAGATCAGACAAACTAGGTAGGGCCCTGTGGTTTTATAGGAGGCCTTAAGAAGTCAAAGTTTGGTGATTATTAATTAGCTAACATTAAGTACACTGACTGAGAGGTAGCAGCTCAGTTTCAAATTGTAATAACTTGATTTACAAAGATAAGTAGTGACACTAGAATCTACACAATTCACTTAACAGAATAACGTGAAACATATTCATGTACAAATATGTATAATTTTAATATTATTAGTGTGTTTTCTCTCAGATAAAAATTAACACTTGTGGGCTAGGATCTTGCTTAGTAAATTAAAAGTCACATTATATTTGCTAAACTTTTAAACCAAGAATATTGGAATATACTGGAAAAGTTAAAATTCAAAATCATAGTGATTTTAGTTAACACATAGCTAATTCAATAACCCACTAAGGTATATTTTAAAAATAATGCTATTTTATTATTTTTTCCCCATTTCCTCGGACAAAAATAATGCTACTTTAAAGATTTTATTTATTTATTTGACAGAGAGAGACACAGTGAGAGAGGGAACACAAGCAGGGGGAGTGGGAGAGGGAGAAGCAGGCTTCCCACTGAGCAGGGAGCCCGATGCGAGGCTCAATCCCAGGACCCTGGGATCACGACCTGAGCCGAAGGCAGACGCTTAACGACTGAGCCACCCAGGCGCCCCAATAATGCTACTTTAAAAGCTAATCTGAACAATAGGTCCAAAATTTTAATCTACTTCAAAAATAGTACATAATGTTAACAGTATAATTCTTTATTCCAGCTTAAATTTTTTTCATTTTATAATAGAACTTTTAGTTTTCCACAGCGACTTCAAACCTATCCGCACACTAAAACTCTTCAAATATTATGTGAGAGACCACAAAATGAGGTAAAATTTTAGTCTAACAGTAGACATCCATTTCAAATGCATAGGAAAATGAATTTTAAAATATTCAATTCCATTGCATAAAACAAGTTTATAATTCTGAAGACAACTTAAACAATGAAGCAATTTAAAATGAGGGAAATGTGACTTGAGAAGTACAAATTAAATTATTAACTTTACTGGGTATATTGTCTGTTGGTTATACTTCCCCTTCAGCTAGCAGTCCCTTTGAAAACGAGCACCATACCTGGCTCCCAGACTTTCTGAACTGAATACATTTTAAGACTAATAATGGAAAGGGACAATTTGCTATTTTTTGCAGTTAGGCCCTGATGCAGATGATTTACAAATAATGTGAGGGCCAACATCTTTGATGTTGAAAATGATTTTAGAAGATTAAGAACAAATATCGGGGCGCCTGGCTGACTCAGTTGGCAGAGCATGTGATTCTTGATCTTGGGGTTGTAAGTTTGAGGCCCTCGTTGGGGGTAGAGATTACTTAAAAATAAAATCTTTTTCTTTTTTTAAAGATCAAATATCATGTTCTACTTTACCAAGACAAAATACAGGTCTTGTTTATAATTTATCTTTAAAACATTACCATCTGGGAATAAACAAAATAGATCTTTCAAATACCAATATGGTTGAGGACCAGTTTTAAGTAAATCTATGTTAACCAGGTAACCAGGTAAATTTATAATGGTCTTTCACTGTAAAAAAAAAAAAATAAAACTTCTTGTGCTTGCTTTGGCAGCACATACTACAACTGGAACAATACAGAGAAGATTAGCATGGCCCCTGCGTAAGGATGACATGCAAATTCGTGAAGCGTTCCATTAAAAAAATAAAAATAAAATAAATATAACTTCTTCAGATTAAAAGGAAAAGAAGCTGTCGTAATTTTGGTCCAGTCTTTAGCAAAAAGAATTGAACTTTTATACAATATACTGACGTACATGAAGCATGAAGCACAAACTTTACTATTATACCCTGAACAGGGAGCTTTACTTTTATTTAAAAGTTTTTCTCTAAGTATCTATTTATTAAGATTCTGAAATTAAGATTCATGACTACACCATGAATGTTTAAGGTTTCCAGATTAACTTGAAATTAACCCTGGAAACCACCTGTCTGGACACTGTTATACTTTGGGTATACCTTTATCATACTATCACATACTTACCTGGGTGTCTGTGCATGAGACTGTGAGCTTTCTGAATACACTAAATGTGGTTTGAAAAATCTGTCTCCCTAGTGCCCATCTAGGGCTTGATACTTAGTAGGCATTCAGTAAATGTTTGCTGAATAAATAAGTTCATGAATATAGGTCTGAGAAGATTGTGGGAAAATGACATTTTCTCTTATATTATTTAACAGAATTCAAATTTGTATTTCATAAAAACCTGCCACTCCGTACTCTAAGAAAGTCATAAAATTGTGACACACAAGCACAGGGGGCAGGAAGAGGATCTAAAAATGGCTTTTATCGGATGATGAGAAGCCTTTTTATAGACTCCCACACTTTTTATGCTGTGGAGAAGGGATCAACAAACCCACCATCTCTCTTTTGTTTCTGTTCATTTCAAAATTATTAAATTATTGCATACGCAGTTGTCACTATTGAAAGCTGGGGCTAGAGGAAGGGAAGAAGATGGACAAAGTTATCTTTACTAGGGAGAATAGCTACCAGGGAGAAAAAAATGACTAGAACACAGAGGATAAAGATGCTACTGTAGAGAGGTGGTTTGTATGACTGCTCTGTTTGAGAAACATTACCTTCATATGTTAATTTACTTTTACTTTGCCGACTATGACTTGAGGAGTCAAAGAACCCACCTCTCTCTTCAGCAAAAATAATAGGAAAGGCCACTGAAGCAAGTGAAAATTAAGCTAGAACATCCTATCCCCTCAAAGACAGCGCTTTTTCTTTTCTCCCACAAAAATGGTGAAAACCGTTTTTTTTTTTTAAAGAAGGGGTGGGTGGGGTGGGGGGAGAACATTGACGAATAGGAAAAAGGCCAAAGAAAGCTTTAGGAGTTAGGATAGAATGATTTTTTAAAATAATCTCTAAAAGAGGGCCATGATGACTAGAGTTCATTAGGCATACCTAAAAGAACAAACTGATTAGCGAACACTTTAATATATTCAAGTCTTATGATCTGTATTAATAGAAGGCAGGAGCAGGCAAAGATAACTGATTTTAGACTTAAACAAAATAAAAGTGTACCTTTTCACCTGGCAGATTAAAAGAACAGACTTTGTTGGTTAGAACACTATTAAGATCCATTTGCTGCTGCTACATCCACAATGATTTTAAGGAGTAGGGTGGAGGCTCAGAAGTAGGCTAGGTAACAGCAGAAAACCTAATTTGGATTAGGAGTTTGTTCTGGAGTCCTTTGGGAAAAATCGAGAATTGAGGCATATGTAGAGTTGTGTCCTATATAAGTTCACCTTCATTTTAGTCCACAAAACATTTACTGAGTACTTACTATGTGACAGACACTGTGCTCGGTGGTAGGAGAAGAGAGATGTCCTTGAGGAGCTAACAGTCTAGAGATATGGTGATATTCTCGTTATTGGAAAAAGCAGTGTGGCAACATTAGCAAGGGGAAAAGTGCTTAAAGTTTATTTTGTCTGAATACACTTTTAGACTTACCAAGTCATTTTTACTCAAAAGGGAGATTAGATTAGGGTCTCTTCAGGGCCTGGGAAAGACCAGAATAGAGGCGAGGACTGGAGAAAAAGAAGTAACCTGAAATTCTGATGCCAAAAGAAAATTTTCAGTGTCCCACATTTTTGGGGGCTTGATCTGTGACAGAACTGTCCTGCTAAAATCAGGGCGTCTTTATTCTGGATGCAGAGCAGTTAATTTCAAGTCACACTTACTGGTTGCACATGGCCTTTAAAAGTAAGTTTACTTCCTATATAAAATGGTAATCTGTTTCATATCTATGATTTAACTAATTTAGGATAATGTCTGCTTGATTGTAACAATCAAGATGGGGGGGCCAAGAAAATCCCCCACCCTTATTCTTATATTTTGGTATTTATTAAGCATGTTCTTACTCTCTGGAGTATAATTATTGGGGAAATGCTATTTAAGTCTTTCAAACCATAAAGACAATACTTAAGATTATTTAACCCTTTTAATCCATATGTTCAATGAACCAAAATAGCATGATGTTTAGTCTCTGGCAATTCATTCATTCCTTGTGTTTTTTGTTCATTCGTTCATTCATTCATTCATTCCATAGTTATTTACTGAATGCCTGTGCTATGACAGGCACCGTTCTAGGTGTTAAGATCTAGGTGTTAAGGTGGAACAAGGCAGGCACAGTCTTTGCCTTAATGAAATTTACATTCTACTAATGAAATAATATAAACAAATTAATATATAATATTAGATGGTGGCAAGTATTAAAAAGAAAATAAAATAGGATAATGAGATAATGGGTAGAACATTGGTTGTAATATGATAATTTAGTGATATATAGGCTTTTCTAAGATTCTGGTCACAGACCCATGCAAAACTGGTAAATGTTTTATAAAACAATATTGATTGCTTTCTTTCAAAAATAATCTTTGTGGTCACAAGTTATGGTAGACTCAGAAATGCACCACCTAGATCTGCCTTTAAGAAAAGACTTGCTGCCAGAATCCTGGCAGTCCATTTAGGGGCGGTCTTGGCTGCACAGAGCAGCCTTGAGCAAGTTCACACCCTTCCCAGGTTGCTCATATTCAATGACTGGTCTGGGTGAGGGTAACAAGGCCCAGCTCTTCTGGTTCAGTTTGGACAACTCTGAAGGGTCATTTTAGCTCCACAGCTCCCTTAGGGGTTGGCTGAGGCAGCTGTTAGGTCTGCTATGTCACTTCAACTTTGCCCTCTGCCTAATGCCGCTTCCTTCTCTCTTCCACAGGTGTTGATCTCAAAGGAAACTCTTAAAAAACAAATTGCTGCTTCAAACTGTTTCAGCTCTGCTTCCCAGAGAATCTACCCTGTGACTTAAATGTTACCTGTACCTACATGTAATATAGTGTCACCGCTATGCCATCTGCATGAAGCAGGAGGGACTGATCAGAACAGTGGCTTTTAGGGGCATCTGGGTGGCTCAGTCGTTAAGCATCTGCCTTCGGCTCAGGTCTGGTCCTGGGGTCCTGGGATGGAGCCCTACCCTAGGGCCTCCCTGCTCAGTGGGAGGCCTGCTTTTCCCTCTCCCACTCCCTCCGCTTCTCCCTCTCCCACTCCCCCTGCATCTCCCTCTCCCACTCCCCCTGCATCTCCCTCTCCCACTCCCCCTGCTTGTGTTCCCTCTCTTGCTGTGTCTCTCTCTGTCAAGCGAATAAATAAAATCTTAAAAACAACGACAGTGGCTTTTAGAAAAATCTCCCTTTTTAAGTGAAATCTTAAGTGAAATCCAAACACATAATGTAAGAGATAAAAGCCGGCCTTGTCCTGGGGGAGGTATGGATGAGGCTTGTTCCTGAGGCACCTTTCTACAAAACAGCTTGAAAGTCACACGAGAGATCTGCTTCTCTAAAGGTTACAGGAATAGTGGTGCCTGGGTGGCTCAGTCATTAAGCGTCTGCCTTTGGCTCAGGTCACGATCCCAGGGTCCTGGGATTGAGCCCCGCATGGCGGTGGGGGGGGGTCCCTGCTCAGTGGGGAGCCTGCTTCTCCCTCTGCCTGCTCCCCCTGCTTGTGCTCTGTCAAATAAATAAATAAAATCTTAAAAAAAAAAGATTACAGGAATAGAAACACAGAATTTAAGAGCTGGATCTCTGAAACCATACAGAACTCCTAATTTTACAGATGGAGAAACTGAGGCCCAGAGAGGTTTGTGATTTTCCTAAAGTAAAATAACACTAACAGTGGCAGACAGAACTATAAACTCATTTCCTCATTCCTATGATCCATTATATAAAATTTTCTATTGAGAGCTTAAGATCCTATTTCATTTATGTTCCCAAGTGGAAAACTTTTAGGAAGTCAAGCATACCAACAAATATGAAGTTTCTGAATAATTTTTGTATTTCTGTTGAATGATAAATTTTTAAGCCCAGGTATAGGATTTAAATGGGTCTCATGAAGAGATACCATATTTAATATTCAGTTTTCACATATAACATATTCTACTTTTATTGCCTGCTTATATTCCCCCCTTTTTTTTATTGTGGTGAAATATATATAAATTAACCATCTTAATTATTTTTAAGTATACAGTTCAGGGCTATTAAATAGACTTATAATGTTGTGCAACTGTCACCCCCATCCATCCTTGTAACTCTTTCATCTTGTAAAACTGAAACTTGTCCCCATTAAACAACTCTCCATTTCTTTCCTCTCCTCAGCCTCTGGCAGCCACCATGCTGCTTTCTGTCTTTATGATTTTAGCTACTCTAAATGCCTCATATAAGTGGAATCATACAGCATTTGTCTTTTTGTTACTGGCATATTTCACTTAGTATAATGTCCTCGTGATTCGCCCATGTTGTAGTGTATGTCAGAAATTCTTTTCCTTTTTAAGGCTGAATAATATTCCATTGCACGTATATACCATATTTTGCTTATCCATTCATCCATCAATGGACATATGGGTTACTTCCAGATTTTAGCTATTATAAATAATGCTGTTATGAACACAGTTGTACAAATACTTCCTTGAGACCCTACTTTCAATTTTTGAGGGTACACATCCAGACATGAAAGTGCTGGATCATGTGGTAATTCTATTTTTGATTTTTTGAGGAACTACCATACTGTTTTCCACACCAGCTATACCATTTTATATCCCTATCAACAGTGTACAAGGGTTCCAATTTTTCCACATCCTTGCCAACCCTTG